AAAAAAAAAAAAAAAAAGATTTATAGTTCAGTGATTAAATGATGGTCTTTATGAGAATCTCTGCCTGACTTTATATAAATTTACTAATCTCTGAATCTTTTGCCTGTCTCTTAAATGGAAATATTAATACTGGCAGAAAGCATTTGAGAATTTGTTTAATCAGATGCATAAAGTGCTTGATGTAAAACTACCCCTTATTTTCTGTCTGTTATTGCTATGATTTTTACTGTACATTTTATGCTTTAGAATTCCAGAGCTTTTGTCCTGGCTAAAACAGCTACAAGTAAAATTGCATAATCCTCCCACCGTCCATTATCCCCCCAGTCAAGGACAAATGGACATATGTGTCACAATTGGCAGCCAAGATGGTCTTTGTAAGGTAAGACAGAAAGGGAGAGGTAGCCAACATGTAGGATGAAATATATTACTGAATATACTCATCTCTCACTTAGCCATGTGACACTATCACTACAAGTCTCAGAGGCTCTTTCACATGGACCACATTTTGCTTCTGAATTTCAGTGAATGGCAGTGGCACCTTCACCGTCTAACTAGTTCAATGACCAGAAATCAAGGCACATTTCTGATACTTCCTCTTCCTCACTCCTCTTCAGTCCATAATAATGGGCTGATTTCTTTAATTTCCTAAATACTTGTGAGTTCTCTACAATTCCCCCATCACTATTCTTGATCAAATGACCCTCGTCAAATGTGCCCAGGATCATGCAATAATTCCTAAACCTTCCATGTGCATTCTTGCCCTTCTTTTATTCTGTTCACACTGCAGCCAGATTGATCTTTTCAAAATGTGTATCTAGCCTCAGTGCCTGTGGCTCAAGCGGCTAAGGCGCCTGCTACATATACCCTGAGCTGGCAGGTTTGAATCCAGCCTGGACCCACCAAACAACAATGATGGCTGCAACCAAAAAATAGCCAGGCGTTGCGGCGGGCACCTGTAATCCCAGCTACTTGGGAGGCGGAGGCAGGAAATTCGCTTGAGCCCAGGAGTTGGAGGTTGCTGTGAGGTATGATGCCACAGCACTCTACGCAGGGAGACAGCTTGAGGCTCTGTATCAAAAAAAAAAAAAAAAAATGCATATCTGATAATGTGATTCCCTTAACCATCCCCTTGTTAGAATTCTTTCTTGCCACATGACTAAAGCACCTCAGCTACCTCCGTCCACCTCCATCTTATCTCACTCCACTCTCCTCTTTGCACTCTGCTTCAAGACATAGAATTCTTTCAGTTTCTCAAAATATAACTATTGTCACCACTTCCACCAAATATCACTTCCTGAGGGAAGCCTTCCCTGAAGTCCCTGAATGCCTAGATCTTCTACAATGAGCTCTTACAACCTTATGCTTCTATACTTAATAGCACTCGTGTTTTTAATGGTACATTTATTGGGTAATTATTTGATTAGCGTCTGACTCTCCCATGGACTGGTAGTCCCATGAGTGTATGAACCATGTCATTTTACTCATTATTTTATCTCTAGTACCTTCCAAAACACTGGCTTGTAGTATATATTTAATAAATTGTGAAAAAAACAAAAGGAATAAATGAATTTTAGGAGCCAAAATGATTATTTCTTTTTCACCTTACCCAAGAAACAGAGGTTGAAAAACTATGGCTTGAGAGCCAGATCCCCTCTTCACCTAATTTTGTAAGTAAAGTTTTATTGGAACCTGGTCAACCCATTCATTTATGTGTTGTCCATGGCTGCTTGCTCACTATAGAGGCAGAGATGAGTGTGCAAAAGAGACACTGTGACCTACAAAATATTTATTATTTGGCCCTTTACTGAAAACTTGCTAATTCCTACTCTAGAATTATGTGAACTCCTTAAAAAGGAGTTCTGAGCATAAAAACAATACTAACCTATGTGTAGTAGCAAGCTAACCTATGCTTCTTTTGTTAGGTCTTTGAAATGATCGTTAACCCCGGAGATAATATTCTCCTAAATGAACCTACTTATGGAGGAACACTTCAAGTTGTAAGTACACAGTTTTTATAAAAGGCATCTCTCATGATAGATAAGAAATCATTGTACCATTAGAATTAGTTGTCTACTGAAAAATAAAATAGCATCATTCATCTGTAAATAAGAGCATCTTAAATGATACATGGAAAACATGTGCACTGCACCCTCTGCTTTATACATTTCTTTTTTTAAAGTTTGAGGGCTCTAATTTGTTTACATGTTCAGCAATACTTGCTGTTTTCTGACTTTTTATTTATATTCCACCAAGCATGTGTGAAGCAGTATTTCACTGTAGTTTTGACTTGCATTTCTTTAATTTTTAAAAACTTTTTATTTTTTTTGCAGTTTTTGGTTGGGGCTGGATTTGAACCTACCACCTCCAGTATATGGGGCTAGCACCATACTCCTTTGAGCCACAGGCACCGCCCCTTAAAAACATTTTTTTCTGTAAGCCTCAGTCGTACAGAATAACCAGACTGCACATACAGCTCCCTTGTGCCCCTCTGCATGGACTGAATGTTGGAGCTTCTGCTTGAAAGGAACACGCATCACACTTCTGCCCAGAATTGACTGGCTAGAGCCAGATCGCAGCCAGGTCTGACGTAATGGGAAAGGGAGTGTAGTGCTCCCTGTGGAGAGGACAGCAGTGATTTTTGATAGGTAACATAATCTACCCCAAGGGAACAATAGAATTAAAATGTGTGTATAATCTCAGCCCTGAGGAGCTTAAAGCCAAGTGCAGGATAAATATTTAAGAGTATAAATGGTCACTTTCTTTGTTAGTAACTTTTGAAAAAAAGAGTGGCACTTGGATTTTGTCATCATGGCTCTGGTGCTTTTTTTGCCCAACAGCTGAAACCACTGGGCTGCAACATCATCAGTGTCGCCAGTGACGAGCATGGGATGGTCCCCGACTCCCTCAGAGAAATACTTTCCAAGTGGAAACCAGAAGATTCAAAGAACCCCAAGAAAAACACCCCCAAATTTCTCTATACTATCCCAAATGGTAACAATCCTACTGGAAACTCATTAACAAGTGACCGCAAAAAGGAAATCTATGAGGTATTTTAAAAGTGTGTTAATGTAGTTGTGTTTCTGTTTCTTGCTGACTTTTATAAGAGTAGTGTGTACATTCTCTTCCTTATCAGGGAAATGTTTGCCAGTTTACACATAATAATAAATCATTGCCTTTCCATTAATTATGAGGGTTTTTTCCCTTTTTCTTTAATTGATGACTTATTTTAAAAAAAAAATTATTGGCTCAGCACCTATAGCTCAACCGGCTAAGGCGCCAGCCACGTACACCTAAGGTGGCGGGTTCGAATCCCCAGCCCGGACCCGCCAAACAACAATGACGGCTGCAACCAAAAAATAGCCGGGCGTTGTGGCGGGCGCCTGTGGTCCCAGCTACTTGGGAGGCGGAGGCAGGAGACTCGCTTGAGCCCAGGAGTTGGAGGTTGCTGTGAGCTGTAATGCCACGGCACTCTACCCAGGGGGACAGCTTGAGGCTCTGTCTCAAAAAAAAAAAAAAAAAATTGGCCTGAGGTTAAATTTTATTAAATCATTTGATATTTGACCCCAAGTTTGATTTTATAATTTTATAGTTGTGTTGTTAACTTGTCTCTTCTGCTTCCTACTCCATGTCATTCAGGTTACAAAGAATTCTTTATAAATAAGAGGCATATTCTTTTGTAAAATCTGTTTGAGGTATTTATAATACCTAGTTTTTCACTATAAATATTATTTTAAAGTAACAGACATATTGAGCTCTACAGAAATCTTTGAAAAAAAAGAGCAATGTGGCTTTTAGAAAGGCTCTTTCATGTGCCTGTACACATTAATATCTTCCTGCAAACAGCTTTCTAAATACAGATCCTTGTTAAGCATATAGGACTTAGTCATGTGCAGTAAGAAAGATACTAACCACTTAAACTCACTTGGAAAATTTGAAGATTCAAAACGTTTTCTTATTCTTATTTTTGTACTCTCCTGGGCACTGTCCTGAGTTCTTTTCTGGGTTTACGTACCTGCCCTACATGGCCTGGTCCAGTTCTGTGCCCATGAATCTCAGTCTGGAAATGACGACCACCACACTGCCTGGCCCCTGCTTCTTCCTTGAGCTCCACACTTCTGTGCCCAACTTTCTCCTTGATAGCTGCATGCAGATGTCTCATGGGCATTTCACACTCAACACAGTTTCCTCATGCCAAACCTCTGATCCACACCCACTCACATTCTCCAGCCCTACAAACAGTGTGATCATGAGGCATTCTCCTTTATTCCTCTATCCCTTCACCTCCCTTCCCCTACATCTAGTTCATCCTGTGGACATGCCACAAAGTTGCCCAGATCCTTTCATCTTGCTCCACCCCATCACTGTCACCACCTTCCAAGCCACCACTCACCCTCACTGGGCTTCTATAGCACCATCTCCCTACCCCTTCATGCTGTCTCTAATCAGTCCCCTAAAACCAGTCGCATCCTCCTCTGCTGGCATGTCTGTGGACAGCAGGCTCATGAGCCTGTGTATAGCCCTGTGGCTTCTCCTGGTAGTTCAGTGAAGTCCAGTTTCCCTCTTGTGCCTTTTAAAGCAGTGAGACTGGTCAGTCTGCTCTCAGGCCTTACATTTGAATCTTCGTGGGGTAGCCACACTGGTTATTGTAGCCCTTAAACCTGCCAGAATATTTGCTCACCTGGGGCCATTGCCCTCACCTGTTGCTCAGTCCAGATTTTTCTTTTTTTTTTTTGAGACGGAGCCTCAAGCTATCCCCCTGGGTAGAGTGCCATGGCATCACAGCTCATAGCAACCTCCAACTCCTGGGCTCAAGCGAGTCTCCTGACTCAGCCTCCCAAGTAGCTGGGACCACAGGCACCCGCCACAACGCCTAGCCATTTTTTAGTTGCAGTCGAATCCCCGGGCTGGGGATTCGAACCCGCCACCTTGGGTGTATGTGGCTGGCGCCTTAGCCGCTTGAGCCACAGGCGCCGAGCCAGTCCAGATTTTTCTTACCTGGTACTTGCACAGCTGAATTCTTCCTATTACCTTGAATTCTTCTGTAGCCTGGTCAGGAAGGGCTTCCCCATGATTCAGCCTGAAATAGTTACTATCTCCCTCTCTCCCAGATGTCCCTATTAGAGTGCTGTCCCCAGCACCTTTAAAACTCCCATCAAATGTCTTCTGCTCTGCATCTATTGGCTGTGTCTATTCTGTCTTTCCTGCTAAGTTCCGTGAGAACAGGAGCTTTTGATCCCTTGTTTATCTCTTTATCTTCGTGTCTAGGACAACAAATGCTCAATTTTTGAATGAATGAATGAATAGTTATGATACTATTTATGAATTACAATTCCAAATGATTTCAATTTTGTATAACTCTTAAGATATACATTGCTTTAAGAAATAAATATGTCACTTTAACTCTTTTTAGCTTGCAAGAATATATGACTTCCTCATAATAGAAGATGATCCTTACTATTTTCTCCAGTTTAACAAGGTAAGTGATGGTGCGAGCTCATGTCACTGTAAGTTGTTGAAAGTCGGCACTGTGCTGGATGTTGGCCCGGCTGCTGAATCAGAACTTACCCCTTTACACTGAAACTGGCTGAATTAAGGTCAATATGCTGTCACTTTAGTTTTTAGTCTTCCAGTTTTATCGAGGGATTAGTGCCTTTCAGCTTATGTATTATTGCTCTTCTAGACGTTGCTTAGCTTCAAAATAGTAGCAGATCTGTGGGCAGTGCCATTGGAGAGACAGGCAGGGCTTCTTGAGCTTCTTGAGCTCCACACCCTACTCAGCTCTATCAGCATCATACCCAGCATCAGAAGTGGGTTTCATCTTGGGTTCAGCTGCAACATCTGGGTGAGTGTCTGGAGCATGGAGAAGGATTAGGAAGCTGTGCTCTAGCTGAAGTACAGGCCACTCTGATCGAAGGAGGAGGACACAGAGAATTGTACTCACCAAGATGGGAAGGTACCTGGGGAGACCCTGCATCTTGGCAGGGATGATGGACAGAGCCCAGGGTCCCTGTGTCCCCACACAGACACTGTGACTTGAGCTGTGAGGTCCCCCACTGCCACAAGTCTCCCTGTTGATTAGCTTACTGCTGGGGACCACATAGTGGGGTGGCATTGGAGAGCAGGCTTACTGGGGACCGGGCTCATTGTGCCTACCCCAACATCACCAGTTACCAGGTGGGAGGGAGCAGGGGAAGTGGAGGCCTGTGACTAGAGCCAGCTGTACCCCAACCTGGGCATTTAAGTGAAGGAGCTCAAGAGATCCCACAGTAGTGGCCTTGGCAGAGCCTGTGTCGGGGGAGAGCACTAGCCATCCAGTGGTCCAGCCCCATAGCTCCCCCAGCCAAAGGAACAAGCCTAGCCTGGCACATGCTGCCTGGGAGGGGAACTCTGCTCTGCAGACTCACACTGCAGGCCATGTGCCTGATGGCAGACCATGCCCCACTATCCCAGCCACCATGCTTCCCAGTCTGTGGGCCAGCTGAGGGCCGCCTCCCTACAAGGCCATTGGCCATACACCTTAATCATGTGAGCTGGCCAGCAGGCCACACCCCCACCAACCCCAGAGCCAACCAGCAGAATGAACCACAAGCCCACACTGCAGTAGGCAGGACATGCTCTTGCACCAGTCCACAGGGCCATGCTGTGGCTCACCACCACAGGCTGCTAGTGACAAGCTGCCCCTCACTGTACCACCTTTTTTTTTTTTTTTGAGATGGAGCCTCAAGCTGTCCCCCTGGGTAGAGTGCCATGGCTTCACTGCTCACAGCAATCTCCAACTCCTGGGCTCAGCCTCCCAAGTAGCTGAGACTACAGGAGCCCGCCACAATGCCTGGCCTTTTTTTTGGTTGCAGCCATCGTTGTTTGGCGGGCCCGGGCTGGGGATTCGAACCCGCCACCTTAGGTGTATGTGGCTGGCGCCTTAGCTGCTTGAGCCACAGGCGCCGAGCCTGTACCACCTTTAAACCTAGACTGGATGGAGCAACTACTGCAGCCTTGACACCTATGACTGCAGCCTAGTTAGCCTCACCAAGTGGCCACTTACACTACCGCAGGGAGACCTGGGCAGAGCAGCTCCCACAGTGCCTATCTGAGAACCAGGCAACAGTCCATACAAACATACCCCAGCACCATGTTGGATCAAGAGGGCACTAGGAGATAGCCACGTTGCAAGCACTCAGTGCATCCACCCCCACCCGGCAGTCTGTCCTCTGAAGCAGGAGATGAAAGCATCATCTAGGGAGCCCCTCCTCTCTAAGTAGGAGAGTTCCCAGCAGAGGAGAACAGGTGTGCCCCAAACCTATCAGCCCTAAGCTGAGAGAAAAGGTCTCAGATGAGAAGAAACCAAAATAATTTTGTCAACATGAAAAAACAAGCCAGTTTAGCACCCCCAAATGATCACAGTAGCTCCACAGTAGTGGATCTCAATGAAAAGAAAATTGTCAAAAATCTTGGAATTCAAAATATGGATGGCAAACAAGATAGATGGAGTTGGAGATAAGGTTGAAAACAACACAAATCAAAACAATATTTGAGGACATGAATGAAAAATATGAAAAACTCACTAAAGAGATAGACAACATGAGAAAGGATATAACAGAACTTAAGAAAATGAAAGAGTCATTTAGGGAATTACAAAATACAGCAGCAAGCTTCACCAATAGGGTAGACCAAGCAGAAGAAAGGGTCTCAGAGTTTAAAGATAGGGCTTTTGAACTAACCCAGTCAGTCAAAGATTTGGAAAAAAGAATGAAGAAGGATGATTGATCACACAGAGAAATGTGAGCATGTGTGAAAGGAGGCAATACATGAAGTATAGATATCACAGAGGTAAAAAAAAGAAAATGGGGGCCGCACCTGTGGCTCAGTGAGTAGGGCACCGGCCCCGTATACCGAGGGTAGTGGGTTCAAACCCGGCCCTAGCCAAACTATAACAAAAGATAGCCGGGCATTGTGGCAGCCACCTGTAGTCCCAGCTACTCCAGAGGCTGAGGCAAGAGAATCACCTAAGTCTAAGAACTGGAGGTTGTTACCAGCTGTGATGTCATGGGACTCTACCAAGGGCAACAAAGTGAGACTATCTCTTAAAATAAAATAAAAGGAAAATGGAAAAACATAGAATACCTATCCAATGGGATTATTGAAGGGAATTTCCCTGGTGTAGCCAGAGATTCAGAGATCCACATACAATATGGTCATCTAACGCAAGGATGATTGAAAACAAATAGTTCATCAGCCGAGCCAAAGCCAAAAGGAGGGACAGAATTCTATAAGCTGCAAGGCCAAAGCAGCAACTAATGTAAAAAGGGAAAGCTGTCAGGGTAACACCAGATTGTTCAGTGGGAACCTTACTGGCCGGGGGATTTTTAATCTTTGTAAGTAGAACAACAGCCAACCAAGAGTTTTGGAACCTACAAAACTAAGTTTCATAAGTGATGGTGAAATAAAGTCTTTTCCAGATAAGCAAACACCAAGAGATTTGTAACTACTAGACCTGCTTATAAGAAATGTGCAGCAGTGCATTGTACATGCAACAGCACAATAGATGCTACCAGTGTGAAAACCCCTAAAATTTACAGCTTATAACGTTTATGAAGCAATAGCACTAAAGGGAGAACAAGATAAACAGGTATCATCCAACATAATGAATGAATGGAACAGCATCACATATACCAACAGTCAACATGAACAGTCTGAATGCCCCAAGTAACAGACATTGAATGGATGATGAAAACAGCCAAGTGTTTTTTGTCTTCAAGAAACACATCTAAACCACAAGGACTCACAGGCTCATGGAAAATATATAGGAAAAAGAATTTCATACAAATGGAAACAAAAAGCAAACAGGTGTATAGTCCTTCTCATATCAAATAAAACAGACTTTTTTTTTTAGACAAGGTCTTACTCTGCTGCCTAGGCTTCAAATTATACTACAAGGTTATAGTAACCAAAACAGCAGGTACTGCTATGAAAGTAGACATGTAGACCAGAGAATCAGGACAGAGAGCCCAGATATCAAACCATCTACCTACAACCCAATAATTTTTGACAAGACAGACAACAGCATACACTGGGGAAAAGAAGTCCTATTCAATAAATTGTGCTGGGAAAATTGGATAGCCACATGGAGAAGAATGAAACAAGATTTCTCACCACTTAACAAATTAAAGATGGATTAAAAATTTTAATGTTAAGTCATGAAACCATAAAATTTCTGAAAGAAAATGTAGGAAAAACTTTTCTAGAACATAGGCAAAGAATTTATGACTAAGATCCCAAAGGCAGTTATAGCAACAACAAAAATAGATAAATGCAACTTGATTAACTTACAAAGCTTCTGCACAGCAAAGGGAATAATAAACAGCAAATAACCTATAGAATTGGAGAAAATGTTCACAAATTATATATCTGATAAAGGGCTAATATTAAGAATCTACAGTGAAATCAAATCAGTAAAAAGAAAACTAACATTTCTTTTTTTAAAGTAGGCAAGAGACAAGAACAAAAGTTTGTCTCAGCACCTGTAGCTCAGCGAGTAGGATGCTGGCCAGGTCCACCATAGGTTCAAGCCCGGCCAGGGCCTGCTAAACCATAATGACAACTGCAACCAAAAAATAACTGGGCATTGTAGCAGGCGCCTATAGTCCCAACTACTCAGGAGGCTGAGGCAAGAGAATTGCTTAAGCCCAGGAGTTTGAGGTTACTGTGAGTTGTGATGCCATGGCACTCTACCAAGGGCAACATAGTGAGACTCTGTCAAAAAAAAAAAAAAATAGAACAGAAGTTTTTCCTAAAATGACAGGCAAATGGACAAGTAACATGAAAAAATGCTCAATGTCACTGATCCTCAGGAAAATGCAAACTAAAACCACAGTGAGGTAGCACTTCACCCCTATAAGACAGGACATTATTAGTAAGTCAGCAAACAACAGGTGCTGATGTGGGTGCAGAGAGAAAGGAACATTTACACTGTTGGTGGGACTGCAACTTAGTACAGCCTCCATGGAAAACAGTATAGACATTTCTCAAAGAACTATAGACCTACTATTCAATCCAGCAATCCCACTGCTGGGTATCTACCCAGAGGGAATGAAGTTATTTCATAGAAAAAGATACATGTACTTGAGTGTTCATCATAGCATAATTTACAGCTGCAACATTATGGTATCAATCTATGTGCCCAGCAGTTCCACAGTGGATGTATATACGCCATGGGGCACTATTCAGCCCTAGAAAGGAATGAAATAATTGCTTCTACCGCAACTTGGATGGAACTAAGACCATTATCCTGAGTGAAGCATCTCAGGAATGGAAAACAAAACACCACATGTTCTCACTAATAAGTGGGAGCTAATCAATGGGTCACACAGGCACAACAGGATATAAAGGACATGGACAATCAAGAAGTAGGTCTTGGGGGGGACAAAAACTTACCTGTTGGATACAATCAATATTATTCTGGTGACAGGCACAGCAAAAACCCTGACATAGCATTATAGCCAGTATCCGTGCATATAAAACATTGTGCCCCCTTAATTCTTTTGGGAAAAAGCTGAAGCAGAAAAGGTCTGTGCTCAGTGGGTGATGTCCCTTTTATATACAGGCAGAGGTATCCCAGGCAGCATGCCACATGTTTGCTACCCTGTCGTTGTATGTGCTGGATCCTACCTGCAAAATAACAGACTTTTAGGTTCATTTTCCCTGCATCTTGCATGCACACACACGTATACATACATACATATACATGCGTGTGTGTGCTACTTCTCACTATTAGTATTTTCAAATAGACAACACACAGTAGCAATAAGACACCTAATGCCCAGTTCCTCAGAATCCATCTCTTTCTTTGCTCTCAGGGTACAAAGAACATATGCTTGGATTCAGTTCCCGCTTTAAACATAACTGAGAAGAAACACAAGCTTTTTCTTTCCTTTTTTTAAGACAGAGTCTCACTCTGTCACCCTGGGTAGAGTGCCATAGCATCATCATAGCTCAGCAAGGTCAAACTCCTGGGCTCAAGTGATCCTCCTGCCTCAGCCTCCCAAGTAGCTGGAACTACAGGCACCTGCCACCATACCTGGCTAGTTTTTCTGTTTTTAGTAGAGACGAAGTCTCACTCTTGCTGAGGCTGGTCTTGAACTCCTGAGCTCAAGCAATCCACCCGCCTCAGCTTTCAACTCTTGACTTCTCTGTCTGGTTTGCCAGAGCATCACTTCTGTGTACTCACTCTCCCACTCTCGCCCATAAGCCCTCATCTCCTTTGTGCCTCTCTTTGAAGTACATTAACTATCAGCATCAGTGTTTCACACTGACTCCATTTCACACCTTCCTCCTCCTCTTATCTCTGTCAGTCCCAAGGATAAGTGTTTTCTCTCTGAATGACTGTGAATGCTGCCAGCTCCTCTCATTTTGGTCTCGTCAAAACTAGTTTTTCTCGACTTCTCTCTTTAAGTCTGTTGATCCTGGATTTCAACCTTTGTAGCAAGGAGGACCTGTTTGAGGTTTCTCTAAATTTGTAATAATGGCATCTGGAGCAAATAAAGAAGCCTCTGTGTGTGTGTTTGGTAGAAAGGTCATGAAGAGAAGCCCATGCCTTAAGAGAATGTGTTTCTTGTCCTGTGTTGCAGGCTGAAGGAAAGGTAAGAGCATATCTGTGCCTGTCCCACAAATGACGCCACCACTCTCTGTGCAATATGATGATGTGTTGACTAACAATTCTCACTCAAAGTTTCTTGGTTTTGTTTTCCATTTTAAGTCCTGGGCACCAACATTTCTGTCCATGGATGTTGATGGGCGTGTCATCAGAGCTGATTCTTTTTCAAAAGTCCTCTCCTCTGGGTAAGAATCACCTAACGTGAGGCTGCCCTCTAAAGAGCTAGAGACCGCACCCCACCATCTTTTGGTCCACACGGTTCTTTTCATGACAATGGTTGATGTTCACACAGGCCTGTTCTCTCTCATTCATCTCCAGTAGTCAAAGATATCATTCATTAGTCTAAGGTTGTAGCAGGACTGGTCGGGATTTTGGTATCATATATGAAAGAGTACATTTGAAGATATATGGTCAGGTTTGTTTTAAATAAATGTACCCTGCAATTTAAATCTATATTTGAGATAAGATTTAGTCAGCTGTATTAGGTTTTTGGTTGCAGCCTACTTCCTGACAAAGGCAGGAAAGTGACACATATCGATTGTTGATGTGGTACTGGTCTTAAGCCGTGTCTCTGTGTGTAGGTTGAGAGTCGGGTTTTTAACTGGTCCAAGACCCTTGATACAGAGAGTTGTTCTTCACACAGAAGTGTCAGCGTTGCACCCCAGCACTTTTAACCAGGTAAGGACAATTTTGGAAATAGATTTGACCCCTCTGATTTTCTCATCAGTAAAATAGAAATTTGTGAAGCATGAATTAGCTAAAGTATATCTTAATGTATTTTAAGTACTGGCACATATCAAGTACTATATGAATTTTTTTTATTTTTACTGTTAGCATTATGACAATTAGTATTATAAATCTCTGAGTATATAAGCTAGGTTCAGCTTGTTGTATCTTCTTATAGTGGTTTACGTGTGATCAAGAGTGGTTTGCTTTTACATTTGGCAAAAGTCACATTTTTAGGGAATGAACTGACTTCTGTCATTGTTTTATTTACTTTAGCTTATGGTATCCCAGCTTCTACACCAGTGGGGACAAGAAGGCTTCCTGGTTCACGTGCACAGGTACTGAAACATTCGGTAAAATACTTAGGAACAAAATAAGAGCTCCATGGACATGGTGCAGATGACCCAGAATGTTGGTTTTTATTCATCCTTCCTAATCCTGACGAAGATAGTAGAAACAGTCTCTTAGAAATCAAAAACCAATTAGTTTTATTTGCTCTTTACCTAGACAGTCTTTTCAGTAGCTTCCAAGTTACGATTTGAAAGCAATGTCTGCCCACACCGAAAGTGATCCAAACTTCCCACCAGCTTAGGGTTCCCAATGTAACTCACTGTTTAATTGATTCACAGGGTAAACTGTACATGCACATACCTATTTGATAATCACCTGGGAGGGGCACGTGGCATAGGATTTTACTCAAGCAAAGATGAGTGAAAACATAATTTTCCTAAGTAAAAAGTATATTGGTGCAAGGGATGTGATATTTTAGTTATGTGAATGTGTTGCCTCCTGGGTCATTTATAAGTCAGGAAAGACAGGATGTCCTCATTCCCAGATCAGTAATTCCTCATTTCAGTGGCATTTTCTTCAATTTTAAGTGTTCTCCTGCCCTGCAGATGATAACCATTGTCATAGACAACTAGTCCCAAAGATTGATCCTGTTACTTTCTCCTACTTCCATATTTTGCATAGAAATGGACTTTCCTTTATTATTTTTCACTTTTAAGTTATTCCACAAGAAGGAAGAAAAACAGAAAAGTTTTATCACCACACAAGTCAAGCAAATACACTCTGATCTCCAGTCAACATTTTATTACAATTAAGACAGAAAACAAATTCTTACAGCCTGGACTCAGAGCTTTTTTTTTTTCTGCAATCAGTACACTAAGCACATCCTTTCCACTGTTTTCTCTTACAGGGTTATTGATTTCTACAGGAGCCAGCGAGATGCAGCTTTGGCAGCTGCAGACAGGTGGCTCAGTGGTGAGTAGGGCACACACCTGCCTGGATACGCACAGCACCCATTTGAGTAGGTGACAAACTGCATGTTACCAGCAGTCTGCATTCCAGGAGGGTGCTTGCCTAGGAAATGCTACCCGTGAATGATCCCAGAAATCAGATTCTGCAGACCCTGGCACAAGTCTCCCTATTTCTCCTGTTTCTCCTGTACCCTTCTCTGCTACAAAGAATTGGCCATTTAAAAAAAAAATTATCTGAAAATCAACTGGCTATAACTTACTTAAACCTAAATAATATCCCTAGCTAAAACTTTTAGACTAATTTCAAAATTTGCTTTGAATAGAAGAGGAATTATCAAACAAGCCAATACTCCTTTTTTGACTAAACTGTGTAAAGGTGATATAGTCTCTGTCCTTACAACATATTTGCCTTATAATTACTAACCTGCTTTTTCTATCTAATAATATTGGTTGCTAATTTGATTGTAGGATTTTTTTTTGTTAGAGAAAAAGGTAAAATTAATTAAATGGCTTCAATTATATTATTAAAATGCCTTTGTTATAAATAATAGTAACCAAACATACTAATAATTCCTTATTTCTGTCATATCTTATTCCCTATAAAGTCTTTGTAGAATAGACTTACTTTTTTTTTTTTTTTTTGAGACAGAGTTTTACTATGTTGCCCTCAGTAGAGTGCCATCGTGTCACAACTCACAGCAACCTAAAAATCTTGGGTGCAAGTGATACTCTTGACTCAGCCTCCCAAGTAGCTGGCACTATAGACACCCGCCACAATGCCCAGCTATTTTTTGCTTCACTTGTCCTTGTTGGTTAGCTGGTCCGGGCCAGGTTCCAACCCACCAACTTCAGTGTACATGGCTGGCACCATAGCCACTACAGTTGCTACGGGTGCCAAACAAGAATAGACTTAGTTTTTGGTAAGAGTACTATTCTAACCTAGGCTAAGTGACTTGTGCCTGTAACCCTGACACTGTAGAAGACCAAGCCAGGAGGATCCTTAAGACCAGGAGTTGAAGACCAGCTTAAGCAACAGAGCAACTCTGCCTCTATGAAAAATTGTTTTTAATTAGGCAGGCATAGTAGTATGCACCTATAGTCCCAGATATTTGGGAGGCTGCAGCAGCAGAATCACTTGAGCCCAGGAGTTTGAGGCTGCAGTGAGCTAAGATGATGCCATTGCAGCTGGACTCCAGAACAAGAGTCTCCAAACAAAAAAAAAAAAAAAATTAAAAATTAAAAAAAAATTAATTTAATTTAAAAATTAAAATTCTACCAGTCCTAAGGAAAATGTTTGAAACAAGAACAAATTTTATTTTTTAAAAAAGATAGTAGTGAAATCAAATTATCCTTTCTTTTTGATTTCTCTGTTCTGATATTCAACTAAACAGAAAGCCTATTTGTAAATGCTTCTGGAATTCCTGAATTTTAACAATTTGCATAATTAATTGCATTCTGATAAAAATTCTAATCCATGGAACTTCTAAACTGTTATGTAAATGATAACATTTATTGAGATGCTGAAAGATCCAGAAAGAATTAAAGAGCCTTCTTTGAAAATTGAAACAGCCTTGTTTGTCTGAGCATTGCCCTACCTGAGGGGTGGGCCTCGGTTCCCTGCATTGCCCAGTCTGGCCCCGTCACACGTGTGCTCGCCCTGTCACACGTGCGCCACACCAGTGACATGTCCCGGCCTCTCTCCCCTCCCTCACCCACACTGACTCCTGTAAATAAAACACATCAATTTTCAGGGGTCCTAGAATTGTAAAAGAGCTGTCCCTGAGGGAATTTTCTGGAAACACTGGCTGATATTACTGTGCTTGGGTTATCTAATGGCATCCATGCTGGCGTCCAAGATGCTTTTCTTCAGATGACATCTATCTTCTGCTTTTGTTCACAGGTTTGGCAGAATGGCACATTCCTACTGCTGGGATGTTTTTGTGGATTAAAATTAAAGGCATTTCTGATGTAAGAGAACTGATTGAAGAAAAAGCCATCAAGAAAGAGGTAAAGCCAGAAGTGGGATGGCGAAGCCTTGAGAAAAGTTACACTTTGTCTTTAAAGTAATTTTATACTCCAACAAAATGGAAAGAGAGTTTTTTTTGTTTTGTTTTGGGGGACATTTTTTGAGACAGAGTTTCACTATGTTGCCCTCAGTAGAGTGCTCTGGCGTCACAGCTCACAACCTTAAACTCTTGGGCTTAAGCAATTCTCTTGCCTCAGCTTCCCAAGTAGCGGGGACTACAGGCTCCAGCTGCAACACCTGGGTATTTTTTTGTTATAGTTGTCATTGTTATTTAGCAGACCCAGGCTAGGTTCAAACCTACCAGCTCCAGTATATGTGCGCCCTAACCACTGAGTTACAGTACCAAGCCAAGGAATGTTTCTTATTGCACAGCATCCAACTCATAATGTGCCAGTGATTAGATACATCATCTCATACATTTTGAGATCACGTAATTATTCAGCTGCCATCAATCAGTAGAAGTACACTTATTCCTAAAGCTGTTGGCCCACACCAACTCCAGCCCCTACTCACCTGTAGCCTCAGGTGAGTTTCCTTCCTGGGGCTCAGCCTAAAATACAGACACAGAAAGAATCCCTCCCACACAGGGTGCTGTGCTGATCACTTGAGCCCACTGTGCAGAGCACTTAGGTTAGCCTGGCTCTCATAAATGCTCCATCAGTTCCAGCTGTTATTACTTAAAATGGAAAGATTTTCTTTTCCTGGGTATGAAAGTAAAGTATACTGATGATAGGAAATTTGGAAAATGCATAAAAGCACACTGAAATTTTTTTAATTAGCCCATAATTTTACCTCCCAGTTTGTGACCATTAGAGATATATTTTCTAGAAATGCTTATATATGTTCTTCTAGTATTTTGGCATGTAATTATTTTACATAGTTAAAATTACCTAGAAAAGTTTGTGTCTTGATTTTTTTTACTTAAAATTAGCTCATGAGAATGTTTCCTAGCTTTTCTTTTTTCCTCCTTTTGTATTTATAAAATTAAAAGTCTACCTACATTTCATTTGGGGGCATTGATTAAGCTGAAAACTCTGAATATTTTTCTGCATAGCTTTTTCAGTTTACCAAATAAATTATATCTTCTCCATTTATTAATTCCATTCTGTTTGTCAATGTTTTGTAAACACTGAGGTTTCTTTCTAGAATTACTGGTTTGAAGCAGTAAATACTAGAGAACAGATTGTGCTGATGATGGCAACGTGCGCGAATGCCCAGGGGACAAGGTGCTCGCTCTGGAATCAGATCTGGAGACAGCCACCTACACTACAGCCCAGGAGTCATGGTGTTCTGAGAGTCAGATCTGGAGACAACCACCAGCACTGCAGCCCTGGCCTAGCAGCCTGGGGGTTATTTCCTTGGTTGGCCTCTTACTTGAGCACAAGGCTCTTGACTCCTCAGTTGTTCTACTCCTAGTCTCACTACACAGTAGGCACTTAAGAAATATTTACCTAACTTATTCCAAATAAATACATCCTAGTATAGGCCAGGCACAGTGCCTCACACCTGCAATGTGCATACTCTGGGAGGCTGAGGCAGGTGGATCACTTGAGCTTAGGGGTTCAAGACCAGCCTGAGCAAGAGTGAGACTCAATCTTTACTAAAAATAGAAAAAGTGAGACAGAAGGATTCGCTTGAGGTCAGGAGTTTGAGGTTGTTGTGAGCTATGATGATGCCACAGCACTCTATCCAGGGCAACAGAGTAAGACTCTATCTCAAAAATAAATATGTAAATAAATAAATCCTGGTATAAGTCAATTTGGTACAGTCTTTGCTTTTCTATCAGTACCATTTTCACCAAAGACATTTGTTAAGTGGCTCTCTGTCCAGATCTCTGAGCTGAGTTCTGAGAACACGGACTTCACATTCTGCTGTTTCCAGCTCTCTCCATTTATTCTGAATATCCTGTTGCATGTTCCTTTGTCTTTTCTAAATGATCTCCAGCTTCATAGCCACTTCCTTAGCCCAGGTATTGTTCATCTTGCAAAGAGGTTATGACCACTCCCCTCCTTTTATGGCTCCTTGCTTCTAGTACCTTCCAAGACTTTTCCACGGTTGTGGGAGAAATGATGGTGTTCATTCATTATCAGTAAGGAGTAAGAAACCTGTCTTCTGCCTGTGAATCTTGCCCCAGAGCACCCCAGAGCATCTCACTCCCACTCCATGCTGATTTAGGCAGTGGCCAGTTCTGTCTGTGTAACAAGCAGCTACCCTCAAAAGCAGAAGCATTTGATGACCATGATTGTACCAGGCAGTGCTGACCATCATGAAAGATGAACTGCAAAATCTCAAGAGACTTAACACAGTGCAAATTTGTTTCTGACTCTTGTAAATTCAAAGATGGGTCCTGCATACAGCTCTACCCTAGCTGGATTCAGAGGCCTGCTCCCTCCCCTCTTGTTGCTGTTCATCTTTTAACACATGGACTCCAGAGTGGCTGTAGCATGGAGGGAGCTGCTGTGTCACACAGGGGAGATCTTTGTGGGCCAGGCCCAGAAGCAGCACATAGAGCTTGTGCTCATGTGGCCATGTCTAAACTGTAGAGGAACTGGGGGACCAAGTGTTTGTATGCCCAGGAGAGGACTGCAGAGTTTGCTGTCTGAGTTGTCACTGCCTCGAGGCCATCCCCGAGTCTGTCTTGACACACTTGGTGTTTTTATTCCGTCACCTTCTACATTGAATTATTTACCTCCCTTCAGTTCTTTGCACCTGTTTTCTTCCCATCTTGGGACCTTTACAATCAGCATCTTCTCCCTCAGATACTGTTCACACTTTGTGCCTGGCTAACAATTACTTACCTGTCAGGTCCCAACTTAAAACTCACTTTCAAACTCAGTGACTTAAAAATGATATCTCATTATTTGAATTTATGTTACCGTTCTAGTTAGATTAAACATTTGTGATTATTTCTGTATCTTTAGTAAGGTTTCCTTTGTGCATTACAGCTAGAATTTGAGTGCTTCTCTTCTCTGTTTCTGGCGCTTCCTTACATATTTGGAGGAGATGGCATTTGCCATGTAATTGTAAATATTTTCCAGCTTCTATGTATTTAGTTGTGTCACTGTATGATACACATATGCCCAATTTTTATATGAGTGTTTTTCTTTTGACTTCTTTAACTGCATTTGAACTTAAAACATCCTTCCTCACTCAGACTAGGTTTACTTGTATTTTCTTAGTTTTTCTTTAATAGTACATTACTCATTTCCCACACAATTTCTTAGATATTACTGCTTCCTGGAAACGGTTTCTACAACAATAGCTCAGCTCCCAGCCCTTATGTGAGAGTATCCTTCTCTTCAGCCTCTCCAGAACAGATGGATGTGGTGAGTACACAGTCTCCAGAGTGCCCTGGTCCACTCTGTGAACTAGAGCGTCACTTCATGTCTTTAAAACTTAAGTTTCTAAAAGTCAGGTACTGATTAACCATCAGGAACTGCTACTCTAAGGCCCATTTTACTTTGTTGCTAGACTGCTTTAGACAGTTGAGTCTACGGTGGAATTAAAGTTTGTCTTACTGAATAATCTCTCAGAATTCAGGAAGAGTGCTGGGAGATTACCAGCATGCGACAAGGAAACTGTTTCCCTCCTTCTTGGATTTCCATGAGCCAAATCCAGACAGCCTCAGTCTCCCTCTCTGAAGAAAAAGGTGTCAGCAGGGTCAAGTAGAATGATTCTCTGAAATGAAGCACAATCTAGCTTTACGCACAATAGCATCCTAAGGACTGTGTATCTGGAAACCCAAATAAGAAGAGTGTAAATTGAACATTGGGCGGAGTTGGTGTTCATCCTTGGAGGTAGACATTTGGGGGGTCATCTTTATTAACCTGCTTTCTCAAGTCATTAACTAAATACACTTTTTATAAGTATCCTCAGCTTTTATGGAAATAGATTGTTGAAACTACAGAGAATATATGTGCAGTGAGAGATTCTATGAAAAATTAAAATAATTTGTATCATAAGTAAAGTAGAAAATGACCATCTTGGCTCAGCACCTGTGGCTCAAGCAGCTAAGGCACCAGCCACATACACCTAAGGTGGCGGGTTCGAATCCCCAGCCCGGGCCCGCCAAACAACAATGATGGCTGCAACCAAAAAATGGCCGGGCGTTGTGGTGGGCGCCTGTAGTCCCAGCTACTTGGGAGGCTGAGGCAGGAGACTCGCTTGAGCCCAGGAGTTGGAGGTTGCTGTGAGCGTGATGCCATGGCACTCTACCCAGGGGGATAGCTTGCGGCTCTGTCTCAAAAAAAAAGAAAATGACCATCTTGAGGGCTATAAAAGCAAGAGGAAACTCTGGGAGTCTGACATACTTTCGTCTGGATATTTTAGTGGCATTGACAGCATCCTGCCCACATAAAGCTGATGTTAAACTTTACTTTTCATTACCTCGTCTCAAACTCAAGCAAACACTTTGAATTATTAAAGTTAGAACAGACTTTTCCAAAGTAAAATTTTAATTTAAGTAATTCTTATCTTTTTTCTCTTTTAGGCCTTCAAGATATTAGCCCAACTTATAAAAGAATCTTTATGAAAAAGAGTCAGACTGATCATACTGTTCATGGATTTTTCCAATAAATTATTTTCATGTTTTCACAGGAAGACATAGTCATTGATGTTAGACTTACAGATCGGATTTTCTCATACATATCTGTAGTAGTTCAATGAGACAACTTTTAAAGTGCCTTTAAATCATCAGATTGCCAAAATATGAGTCTGTTATGAATTTTTGATTAATTTTCAATCTGCAAAATTTATTTTTGTCTTGGATCTTATTGTAAAGAACTCTATAGTTGCTTTATAATTTCCCATAAATTTTCTTTGAAAATAATATTTTATGCCATATTATTTTGAAAATTTAAGGAAATAATTAAGTTCAAAATGGTATATAATGGGTACTTTTTCTATTTTTAGAAAATTTTAATGAGAACAAAAATTATTGTGATGTGACCATTATAAATGATTTTTATTAAGAATACCATAGATGGCTTGGCACCCATAGCTCAGTGAGTAGGGTGCCAGCCACATACACTGAGGCTGGTGGGTTTGAGCCCAGCCTGGACCTGCTAAACAACAGTGACAATTCCAACCAAAAAATAGCCAGGCATTGTGGTAGGCACCTGTAGTCCCAGCTACTTGGGAGGCTCAGGCAAGAGAATCACTTAAGCCCAAGAGTTTGAGGTTGCTGTGAGCTGTGACTCCACAGCGCTCTAACCAAGAGCAACATAGTGAGACTCTGTCTCAAAAAAAAAAAAAAAAGAATACCATAGACATTATATTATGCCACAGAAATCCCTTTAAAATAAAATTCTGAAGCTAAACTTACCAGCATATGAGGCCGGTGCCTTACTCCTTTGAGCCACAGGCACCGCCCTATTCAGATTTTTTTTTAATGATTTTCTTTCTTTTTCTTTATTTTCCCCATCTCACTACTACACTTGATCTTAGCCAAAAGGCTAAGAAGCGATTCCCCATCTCATTACTAAAATAATATATGCTCATTTTAGAATTTTCAAGCAATCCAGAAAGTATAAGGAATAAAGTAAAAGCACTGAGTACCTCCCCTGTCCCCGAATCATCATCCTCATTTGTCTTCCTGCCCTGATGAGGTGCTGGGCACACTCACACACACACAAGACCTAAAAAATAGGCCCTCATTGTGAGCATATCATGAATACCCCATATTTTTTTT